TAACAAAAAACCATTGACAACATCAACACTAACTAGTCTTCTTCAAACACCTATTCAGTCACAACAATCACGATCATTATCATATGATTCAAATGATCCTTCACAACCCAAATTAAAACGGTTTAAAGGATCAGATTCTTCGGTGAATAATAATAATAATTCATCGTCGAAGAAACTTTATCGAAAACTAAATCATGTAAGTTTTTCAAATAAAAGAATTTTTTGTTTCTTATTTTTCTATTTCAAAATATTCATTTTTCTAGACTGACAAATTAACACAGTTGTTGTCATCACCAACAACACCCTCATCTCCTACTGTACATAATTTGACATTGACACCATCCACAAATATACCACAATCTATACTTGAACGATTGTCACCAGGAAATGTTTACTCATCTCAACAACAACAACAATCTGGTCGACGTCGTCCAAAAAATTCGATGTCAGGAACAATAAAACAAGGAAAGAATCATAAAAATCTTCCACTAGCAGATTTATGGTCCCTTGCAGAAAATACAGCAGGTGGTGCAATCTTGCTTAAAGCTCAACTTCTTGAAGCAGCAAAAAAATTGCAACAAAAAGAGGTAAGAAATTAAAAAAACAACATCATTAAAATATTAAATATACTAAATATGTTTTTTTTGTTTAGGAGCTTGAAAATAGCACTAATCGTCGTGTTATTTTGCAAGATGGTTCATCTATATTGTCAAATTCAAATGAAAATATAAATAATTCATTTGATGGAATTGGAACGAGTATTGATGATGAAGAATCCAGTGATCCTTGGCAATTTCGGCCAAAAGTTGGATGTAGATATCTAAGGGTATATATATATCTATATATTATAAACAATATAAATGATTTTATGTATAAATCAAAATTTTTTAGCCAATTGATCAGGATCAACAACAGCGAGTACTACCTCAACGTTCGACTTTTTCATCGTTTTATTATGTGGCTTGTTCTGAACGAGGCCATCTTGGCAAACGACGTGTACGATTAGGAAGAGGCGGAAGGTATACATTTATATATACAAAATTTATTTAAATTAACAAAACATTCTACATATGTAAATATATATACATTCTATAGATTGCTTTATGATCGTCATACTGAACAGGAGAATAAAGAATTGACTGATGAAACATTTTTAGCATCACATATCATAAACAAGTATGTAGTTTATAAAACGTAAGTATTTATAATTTAAAATTTGTTTGTTTTTTATTATTTTAGACCCGTGTTATGGCGTCTTTCATCTCGACCATTACTTAAAGAATCATATCGTCTTCATTCATATTTAACAGTTAAAGATCATACGATGTCACTAGCACATCATTATCAATCAAAATCATCAGCTAATTCATCAATTCATTTAAATGATTCATTGTATCATGTAAATAATTCTTTATCGTTGAATACTGGTGGTAAACATCCACCCACGTCGTCATCCTCTATTGAACTTGATCATCCATATTCATGTTCATCACGTCGTGTTAATCAAGCGTTACGTACATTAGCTGAACCACAACCACCATCACCATCATCACCACCACCATTATCTTCATCAAATTCAATTTCGACATCACAACAAATGATGCTTATATCAACACCGCCTACACCACCACCATCATCAACGATAAATAATAATGATATAGATATGTCGCAACAAGAACAATCCGAACAACAACAACAATTCTTTACAAAATCATCTTCATTTGTTCTATCTCCAACGACACCATTTTTTTCTCCACATCAACCATCGTATGTTATTCCATCAACACCTCCACTACCAGCATCATCATTATCATCTCAACAATCAGCGTCATCATCTTTAACAATACAACCATCATCACCAGTACCAACAAAACAAACACCATCATCATGTGGTCTTGTACAATTTGTTCAACTTCATCGTATACATCCTCCAACTAACACGCATAAATTTGCATCATCAACACCGGTGACTACATCCGATTCTTGATATATTATATATATATATAAATGTGTGTGTTTCTCTGGTTTTTATCATCATTTTGGGCCTGTTGTATCCCTTTAATGTGTATGCGCGCATGCGCGTGTGTATATTTGTTCTTGTGTTTTCCTGCCCATTATTTTGGTTTGTTTGTTGTTTCATTCATTCATTCATTCATTCATTCATTCATTCACGCTCGTTTTTTTCTTCTCTCTTCTTCTTTTTTATGTCTGTTTGTTTGTGTGTATGTGTGATCATTATTTCTTGTTGTTCGGACAGATGGATATCGAGAAAATAAATTCTCGATGTTTTGTTTTCCTCGATTAACAATATAGGATGATCACACACAAAAAAAGTAACTAAAAAAATTAGGAAAAAATTATTTCTGTGTTTCTTTTTTCTTTTCTTTTGTGCGCGTGCGTCTATACACATTTATTGGGTAAAATATTTCTTTCGTTTATGAGAGAAATTGAATGATGATAGTGAATAAAAAACGAGTCACACATCATATACTTATATTTCATGGTATATGGAGAAAAAGTACCGAAAATCAATTTATATTTTAAATGATAAAAAAGCGAACAATTATAATTTCATATTTAAAACTATGACTAATAGCCTAGATAGAAATTGTTTGTAATTCTTAACAGAAATTATATCACCATAAATAATAATATGTTACTGATTTTTGCCTTTTTCTTTTACTTTAATCTTAAGTAATGCAAAATGACAATTTTTAATTGCAATGAATGAAT